CCCCAGGAGCCTCTGCACCAGGCCCCGGGGCCGAGTCGACCTCCAAAGCCCCGGCCTCACAAGAAAAAGCCGGGGCAGCCGAGAGAGCTGAAAGAGAAGGGGGCCCACTGGTCAAAACCCCGGAGCATCAGCCGGAGGAACAGACTCGAATGCCTCCGCAGCTACCCCGGACGGGGCAACCCCCGAAACTGCCCAAGTCTCAGAACCTCTAACCCCGCCCCGACCCCGAAGCCTGCAGATGCGTAGGGGCCGGAAGCAGGAGGGGGAAAAACAAGGGCGTGGAAGGAACCAAGGCCGAAGCGACCAAAACCACCCAAGTCTGGGTCCCTACACATGCGGGGCAGCATCGGGGCGTCCGGGGAAGCGACATACCAGAGCACGTTGCAACATCCTACCCTGCAACGCGCGAGCTGCCTGCACCCACGGGAATTCATCAGCAGACTGGGTGAATGGAGTCACGAACAAGCAACAAAGCTTGCAGGACTCAAGGGTCGAATGTGTCACCGACCCAACAGGCAGCATGACGGAGGCAAAAACAAGGAGAGTCACCCTGAGACAAAGGGACAGAGCAACCCTCAACTCGCCCAAAGCGAGAGGGGATGCAAGGGTCTCCACTATCGGACCCGAGAGCCCCCGGGGGGTTTCCCAGGGCCCCTAGACTGGGTCTGCTAAGGGTTATCCCAGGCAGGGTACTGCTAACCGGCGCCCCAAACTACCAAGCAAACTGCTAAAGCTGAACCCACGGGACGTGTCCACTCGTGAGGGCAAAGCAGGGGATGCCACCACACAAACGAACCTAATATAAGGGGGGGGGGGGGGAACACAAGGAAGACCCCCCTACCAGGCAAAAATAAAAATAAAAGAAAAACCACACAAGTGGACAACGTACCCAGAGGGAACAGAGCCGGCCGTTGTACCCTGTGCCCCACCAGTGCGATAACTACCACTTACCCCAAGGTAAACAAGGGAGTGAAACCCCCAAACCCTTGGGGCGGCCAAATGCCAAGCAGCGAAAAGCCAACAGAGGTAGACCCAAGGTGACTTGTGGAAGGCAACCCCAAGGGTGGTACTTACAGGGCACTCAGGGAAGGTGACCCTAAGCACATGCAGCCCGAGTACCTGAGAATACTACTCCCAGCTCACACGACCACCATAAGAGCAGCACTGAAAACAAGTCACAGCACTGAGACAAGACTGGAGCTGGAGCCACACGACCGTGCATGATCCCATCAGCCGAGGAACTGGAGCGGGGATCGCCGGCGCGGGGGTCTGGGGCTCCCCCTTCCCCCTCCCGGGGAGGGGGGAGCTGCGCAGACATGCGGCGCGGCTTGCGTGACGTCATGCTTGTTAGTTCGTTTTCCTGGGGGAGTTCTGTCCACTCGTTTGTCGATTTTTGTTGTTTAACCAGAATAGGGGTTTGTTTTGTGGCGCTTACCTTTCTGGGTGCCTGTCCCGGTCGATGGCAGATATAGAATGCTCCAAATCACATGTGCATTTCTATGGGCCATTGCTCCCCGTGCCTCTCTGAAGGGGCCAGGTTCTGGCTCGTGGTCCCCGGTAGGCCTAGAACTCCACCCACATCGACTGATGCAAAATAGTTAGGGTATCCATATCAGCCATGGATAGCTCCGGGGAGCCGTAGGGGCTTCCCCCAGAAAACAGGCGTCGACTCAGCGCGTGTCCAAGATGGTCTGTTGCTCTCTCAATACTGAGGTCCTCACACCCGGGAATTTGGCCCACGATTTTTTTTTTTAATGGCGTCTGTTTACAAGAGCCCTGATGAAGGTGAGGTGTATCCGCGGGCCGTTCAAATCTTGCGTAGTACTCCAATACATCATATGATGGGATGCGCATTTTATAGCAAGTCACTCAACCCATCATATGATGTGTTGTGCAACTTAAAGGTTAAACACCATATTATTTTCTGTAGCCCATAGAAAGACCTGATTTATGTCTGATTGGAGGTTTGCCATGTCCTCTATGTTATCTACTCTCATGAAAATCCTAATGTCATCTGCAAAGGATGATACAGTACAATAGATTGTGTCCTTGTCTATATCCACTATGAGGATGAGAAAAAGTACTGGAGCAAGCACAGTACCCTCGGGGACTGAGCTCTTCACAGTTGATGGACGGGATTTTATTTTGTTAACTATTACACATTGGGTTCTGTTAGTCAGGAAATTATAGATCCATCTGCCTATTTCTTCGGTAATTCCTTTTGAATGTATTTTATGTGCAATAACACCATGGTCACATTTGTCAAAGACTTTTGCAAAATCTGTAAATTACATCAGCGTTTCGTTTGTCTTCCATGGTATCTAATGCCATGTTATAGTGGAAGAGCAACTGTGACAGGCAAGAGCGCCCTGTTCTGAAACCATGTTGTCCGGGGTTATGGAGATGCTGTGATTCCATGTATTTTGTGATCTTACTTCTTAGCACTCTCTCAAAGATTTTTATGATGTGCGATGTTAGTGCTATGGGTCTGTAATTTTTTGCTGCTGCCATATTTTCTCCTTTATGGAGTGATGCTATCTCTGCTGTTTTTAGTATGTCAGGGATAATGCCAGTATCTAGGCTTTGTCTACAAAGAATGTGAAGGGTCTGTGATAGCGGTTTTTAACAGTTCTTGATGAATATGGAGTTCCAAGAATCCGGGCCTGGTGCAGAGTGCATAGGCATACTGTTTATGGCTTCTTCAAAATCCAGTGGGGATAGGGTGACGTCTGATATATAATTTGATGTTGGTATCCTATCCATGAAAATTCATTTGGGTTATCAATCTTTAGTGCGTTTAATGGCTCGCTGAAAACAGTCGTACTGCTTCCTCAGTAGCTTGCTCATTTCTTTGTTGTCATCGGTGAAAGTTCCATCTCCCTTTCGCAGGGGCCCGATACTAGATGTGGTTTTTTATCTTGAGTTTGCATAGGAGAAAAAATATTTCGGATTTTCCTCTATTTCACCGATAGAAATAAAACAATATTTCAATATATTGTTTGATAGACAAACAAGAGCAAGAAAACCCCCCAGCTGACTCCAAGGGCGGCCAAAAATCGAGCAGTAAATGGCACAGCAGAGGTAGATCCCAAGGTGACTTGGGGAAGGAAGCCCCATGCCCCAAGGGCAGTACTTACAGGGTACCTAGGGAAGGTGACCCTTGGTGCATGCAGCCCGAGTACCGTGGAATCTCACACCCGACTCACGCACCACCTGAAGGGACAGCCCACACCACAAGGCACAGAACTGTAACGGAAAACTGGAGCCAGAGGCACGACCGCACCAGACTCACATCAGCCTAAGAACTGTAGGTTGGGTGCCAGCGGGTGGGTTTGGGACTCCCCTTTCCCCTCTCGGGGAGGGGGGGATGTGCAGACAGCGGGGCGGCAACGTAACGGCGTCATGCTAGTTTGCTAATTTTCGTTTGGGGAGTTCTGTCCACCTGTTCGGCTTTCGGTTGCAATACTTTTACCAAAATAGGGGTTAGTTTTGGGGGACGCCTACCTTTCTGGGTGCTTGTCCCAGTCGATGGCAGACACAGAATGCTCCCAACAACAGGGGTGGGGGTCTCTATAGGCCATTGCTCCCCGTGCCTCTCTAGAGGGGGGACCAGGTTCTTGCTCGTGGTTCCTGATAGACAAGAACTCCATGCATTGATTGATGCCAGAAAGATATACATATCCATTCAGCCTGGATAGCTCCGGGGAGCCGACGGGGCTCCCATAGAAAATTCAATGCTTTGCAACATTACAGCAGTCACCCCTTTACATCCTTGCTTCATTAGCATCTTTAAAAAAAATGATTAATTTGCATCGTTGGAGGTGTCCGAGAATTTGCGAAAACCAGCGGGAACGCTAGGAAGCATCACATGGTTTTCTTGTTAATAGAGCGGAAACTCGTCAATCTAGACAAATTTTCGGCGAGTGCCTCGCTTGTTACTCGAAATGCTCATAGATGGAGACGCTTGCCACTCGAGGTTCCACTGTACTATCTTCATCACCATAACTATAACACCATAACACACTGTATATATTATTTTCATAACCATCTTCACTGTATATAATCTCATCACCATAACCATCCTCACTGTACATACCATCTTTGATCATCACTAATATCTTCACAGTATATATTATCTTTATCACCATAACCATCTTTACTGCTCACTATTTTCATCACTGTAACCATCTTCCATACTTACTATTTTCTACTGTAGCCCAAATGAAATTCAGTTCATTGTTTTCAGGCAAATCATGAAAATGTATGGTAAACACTATGGAAAACACATCTAGTTTCATTTCAGACCATGAAAATCACCGGGAAGGGGGAGGGTAGATTTTAAGCTGATATTTCTTAAATAATTTAACTTAAGCCAACCACGACCAGCCTGTGTTCATCCCATACCTATACCATTTTCCCTGCAAAGTTGGGTGAGGAAAACCCAGACTCCAAGTGTCTGGCCTCCAACTTAGGGCAGGCTAAATAAGTGACTTTCTCTTATAGTAGAGATTAGTTAGGACCTAAAGGGCAGCCAACAAGCAATGTTCCTCATTTGAGGACATCAGTGAAAGAACTGGAGTGTGTTGACATGGGAGTTGGTTGCTCTCAATGGTGATGCCAGCTGGTAGTGGTCAGCTGTAACTAGAGGTTCAAACTGACTTCTGAATGGATCGTTTGAAGAGTCATTTGCTGCTTATCTCTTATTTTTCTGTGAACCTTGGAATTGTTTGATATGCTTCTCTTACACTCTGGATGTTTCCTTGTTGAGGGTGAAAGTAAAGAATCCCCTGCTCCATACATCTTTGTAAGAGGACCAGGTTCTAGCTCTGATCTCTGGTAGATAATTCAGGACTCAAGATGTATGGAACTATCTCAGTACAAGCTTCAGGGCCCTCCAAAAAAAAAAAACACATTCGTTTCCATAGAACAATATTATACCCAAGCCACACTTAATAAAACTTTTCATGAGTACAGGAAAATAAAAGGAATTTAAAAATAAATACATTATACAAATTTATTGTTTTTACATACTTCAGCAATTATTTATTTAAAAGGAAGCAATTTAGGCACGAAAGATGAATATACGGCATATATCAAATTCAGTCATCTCTGTAAACTCTTCCACATTTTCTTCAGCTTTGACCATGAATATCTGATGGACTTGATTGCTCCAGCAGTTAATATTCCTTTTAGACTCTGAGTCACACTGGGTATCTTCACTATATCTTGAATACCTGATAAAGAAAAAAATATATACTGTATTGGAAACAATTTTGAGCATTGTCACTAGGTTACTTATTATGGCAAAAACCTACTGCTGAATTTAATGAAATGCCTCTTTCAGATGGACCCAAAGTTTTCCTTGTTGTTAGCCACTTTGGATAGTTCCACACCTATCAAATCACGCCAAGTCCTTGCGAGTCATTAACCTTCAACTGCGCATGTTAAATGGATGCTTGTGCCACATATAACCTTACTGGGCAAATCAAATGGAAATATTTTATAGTACAGTTTAAGATTTATAAGTTTCAAGTGGACACAAGCCGAGCAGTGGTGCTGTTAGCTTGTGCGGCATGCTCTGCTTGATGGGGTTCTGGGAGCTCTTCTACTCCCCAAGCCCAGCCCATGGCCAGGCTTGACTTGTGAGTGTTTGGTCCATCAGGCTGTTGTTTGGAGCGACCCGCAGGCCCACAATTCCACCACAGCCTGGTTGGTCCGGCACTCCTTAGAGAAAATGATCTAGTTCTCTCTTGAAGATGTCCTTGGTTGTTCCGGCAATATTTCTCATGCTCGCTGGGAGGATGTTGAACAACCACGGACCTCTGACGTTTACCAGTGTTCTCTGATTGTGCCTATGGCACCCCTGCTCTTCACTGGTTTTATTCTGCATTTTCTTCCATATCGTTCACTTCAGTATGTTGTTATTTTACTGTGTAGATTTGGGACCTGGCCCTCCAGTATTTTCCACATGTATATTATTTGATATCTCTCCCGTCTCCTTTCTAGTAAGTACATTTGGAGAGCATTGAGTCTATCCCAATAATTTAGGTGCTTTATCGTGTCCATATGTGCCGTATATATGTTCTCTGTATTCCCTCTATTTCTGCAATCTCTCCTGCTCTGAAGGGGAAAGTGAGTACTGAGCAGTATTCAAGATGGGACAGCACAAGTGATTTAATGCTTTATTGCTCCCTCAGTACAGTACTGAGGCCTTCACACTCACGAATGGTGTTCACAATTTTTTATTAAAATTGTGTCCGTTTACTGGAGGCCTGAGAAAGCTGACGTGAGCTCTATGTACCCACGAAAGTTATAAATCTAACGTGGTATGTTAACCCTTGCACTATGTATATTATACATACATGATTTTGACCTAACCAACTGCACTGTGCATATCATATATGTATGATTTAGAGTACAGGTACTGTGTAAAATTTAAGAGTCCCACAGAGCTCACATGAAAAAAAAAACAGCGTTGAATGTAATGAAACGCCATTTTCTGGGTGAGTCCCATAGGCTCCCTGGAACTATCCAGGCTGATATGGATACCTGGTTGATACCTGGTTGATGGGGTTCTGGGAGTTCTTCTACTCCCCAAGCCCGGCCCGAGGCCAGGCTTGACTTGTGAGAGTTTGGTCCACCAGGCTGTTGCTTGGAGCGGCCCGCAGGCCCACATACCCACCACAGCCCGGTTGGTCCGGCACTCCTTGGAGGAATAAATCTAGTTTCCTCTTGAAAATGTCCACGGTTGTTCCGGCAATATTTCTTATGCTTGCTGGGAGGACGTTGAACAACCGTGGACCTCTGATGTTTATACAGTGTTCTCTGATTGTTCCTATGGCACCTCTGCTCTTCACTGGTTCTATTCTACATTTTCTTCCATATCGTTCACTCCAGTACGTTGTTATTTTACTGTGTAGATTTGGTACTTGGCCCTCCAGTATCTTCCAGGTGTATATTATTTGATATCTCTCGTCTTCTTTCTAGTGAGTACATTTGGAGGGCTTTGAGACGATCCCAATAATTTAGGTGCTTTATTGCGTCTATGCGTGCCGTATATGTTCTCTGTATTCCCTCTATTTCAGCAATCTCTCCTGCTCTGAAGGGGGAAGCGAGTACTGAGCAGGACTCAAGACGGGACAACACAAGTGACTTGAAGAGTACAACCATTGTGATGGGATCCCTGGAATTGAAAGTTCTCGTAATCCATCCTATCATTTTTCTGGCTGTCGCAATACAGTATTTGCTTGGTTATGCTCCTTAAACGTTAGGTCGTCAGACATTATTATTCCCAAATCCTTTACATGCTGTTTTCCTACTATGGGTACATTTGATTGTGTTTTGTACTCTGTATTATGTTTAAGGTCCTCATTTTTACTGTACCTGAGTACCTGGAATTTATCACTGTTAAACATCATGTTATTTTCTGATGCCCAGTCGAAAACTTTATTAATATCAGCTTGAAGTTTTTCAATGTCTTCAGCCGAGATAATTTTCATACTGATTTTTGTGTCATCTGCAAAGGATGATACAAAGCTGTGACTTGTATTTTTGTCTATATCTGATATGAGAACAAGGAAAAGCAGCAGTGCAAGGACTGTACCCTGAGGTAAAGAGCTTTTAACTGCACTTGGACTAGATTTTATATGGTTGACCCTTACTCGCTGAGTCCTGTTTGACAGAAAACTGAGTATCCAGCGTCCTACTTTACCGGTTATTCCCATTGACTTCATTTTGTGTGCTATCACGCCATGGTCACATTTATCGAAAGCCTTTGCGAAGTCCGTGTATATCACATCAGCATTCTGTTTTTCTTTTAATGCCTCAGTGACTTTGTTGTAGTGCTCAAGTAGCTGTGAGAGGCACGATCTTCCCGCTCGAAATCCATGTTGGCCTGGGTTGTGAAGGTCATTGGTCTCCATGAAATTGGTGACCTGACTCCTAATCACTCTCTCAAATACTTTTATGATGTGCGATGTTAGTGCAACTGGTCTATAATTCTTCGCCAATGCTTTGCTCCCTCCCTTGTGTAGAGGGGCTATGTCTGCTACTTTAAGTGCATCTGGTATCTCCCCCGTGTCCAAGCTCTTCCTCCACACTATACTGAGTGCCTGTGCTACCGGCACTTTGCATTTCTTTATAAATATTGAATTCCATGAGTCTGGACCTGGGGCCGAGTGCATGGGCATGTTTTCAATTTCTCTTTCAAAATTTAGTGCGCTCATGTTTATATCAGTTATATTTACAGGGGTTTGAATATCCCGCATAAAGAAATTGTCTGGATCTTCCACCTTCATGTTGTTTATTGGAGTGCTAAACATGTCCACATACTGCTTTTTTAGGATTTCACTGATTTCTTTGTCATCCTCCGTGTATGAACCTTCACTTGTACGAATAGGTCCAATACTGGCAGTGGTTTTTGCTTTTGATTTCGCATATGAGAAGAAATATTTTGGATTTTTCTTTATTTCCTGAATTGCTTTCTGTTCTAACTGCCTTTCTTTAGTTTCATATGAGTGTTTCAATTTCTTCAATCTCCCTATTTAAATTATTCCTTCTTTGACGGGAAATTCGTGTCTGCATAAGCAGTTCCGTTATTTTTTTCCTGCGTTTCTAGTGTAGTCTGCGTTCTCTTTCTACGTTAGATCTCTTTCTGGCTTTCCTCAAAGGAACATGTTTCAGACAGACTTGATACGCTTCTGAAGTCAGTTTTTCTATTCCTTCTGTAGGACTTGTATTACTTAGAACAGTTCCCCATGGAATGTTTGTAAGTTCCCTGTTTATTATCTCCCAGTCTATCCTTTTATTATTAAAATTGAATTTACTGAATAGCCCCTCTCGCTTTATCAACGTTTTAGGTCTATTCTGAGTATTGATGGTCGTTTGCACTTCAATGAGCTTGTGATCTGAGTATGTGGGATATCTGAGTTAGGGATATCCCTAACTTTGACATCAGTCTATGTGGGTGGAGTTTTAGGCCTCCAGGGAACACGCGCCAGACCCTGGCCCCTTCAGAGAGGTACGAAGAGCAATGGCCTATAGAAACGCACATGTGATTTTTGAGCATTCTATATCGGCCATCGACCGGGACAGGCACCCAGAAAGGTAAGCGCCTGAAAACAAACCTTATTCTGGTTAAAATCAACAAAAATAGACAAATGAGTGGACAGAACTCCCCAAATGAAAATGAGCAAACGAGCATGACATCAAACGAGCCACTCCGCATGTCTGCGCAGCTCTCCCTCCCCGTGAGGTGGAAGAGGGGAGCCACAGACCCCCGCGACAGTGATCTACCCTGCAGTTCTGAGGCTGGATATCAATATATGTGAAAACCGGCGACTGGAGAGAGGGAGGGTTGCCGGGGAACCTCAGGGATTCACCCAGAAAATAGCATTTCATTACATTCAACGTTGGTTGTCTGGAAGGAGCCTCTACGGCTCTCCGGAGCTACTTCACCAAAGACGAAAAAGAAGAAAGGGACTTACCTGGGAGGCGTTCGATGCTCACATCTCAACTCAAAGACGAGACAGTCTGCAGCCACCAACCCAAAGCGACACAGGCCCGACCGGGCCCAGGAACGTTAACGAGGTAGCGTGCAGCCAGGACCCTGTTCAACCGCCAAAAATCCCGTGCCCGAATGTCAGCCCAGGACATGTTACCAAAGACAGCAGCAAGAGTAGCAAACTTATGAATGTCGTGGGCACGGGGATAGACCTCAGGCTGGCTAGACTTAATAACCCTGTGATGACCTGAGAGACCCATACCCGTGAACAGGGAAGAAGCGAAACCGGATCAACCCAAAGCGCGTCCCCAGATACAGAAGCCGTGGTGCGCAAATAACGGCAGAGGGCCGCAACTGGACACAACACATGATGCACCCCCAGCCTGACCAACCAAGCACCAACAGCCCAAGGACCCCTCTGGAAAGCAGCAGTCTCATTCTTTGCCAGAAAAGAAGGAGACGGCTGGAGACGAACAAACCTATCACCACAACCAAAAGAGAAGAAACCCCTGGGCCGGAGAAGAGTGTGAAGTTCCACAACCCGACCCCCAGAGGCTAATACCAACAGGAAAAGCCTTAGAAAAACAATCCTGAACCTACGAAACAAAAAAAAAAAAAAAAAAAAAAAAAAAAAAAAAAAAAAAAAAAAAAAGAAGAAGAAGAAGAAGAAGAAGGAGGAGGAGGAGGAGGAGGAGGAGGAGGAGGAGGAGGAGGAGGAGGGAGGAGGAGGAGGAGGAGGAGGAGGAGGAGGAGGAGGAGGAGGAGGAGGAGGAGGAGGAGGAGGAGGAGGAGGAGGAGGAGGAGGAGGAGGAGGAGGAGGAGGAGGGGAGAGATAGAAGACTACTCTCTGTCTAAAGACCAGGACGACTCAGGCGACACATGAGCAAGCCGGAGGTGAAACAAGGCACAAGACAGCTTGTGAAATGGCACAGAAGTGACATCTATACCGAAAGCAAGATGCAGCGCCTCCGCCAGTGCCGCATGATATGAGGCGACAGTATTCGGCATAAGATGACGGTCCTGGAACAACCAGGAGAGAAAACACACCACCACCTGAACCGAAAGCGAAGTACAGAACAACGACGAAGAGTCAAAAAGAAATGGAAGGACCCCCCAGGAAACTTTATACTGCTGCCAAGATGAAGCCCTCAGTTGGGACACCATCAAGGAAACCACCTGATCACCATACAGCTGGTGATCAACTTGAGTAAAAAATACCAAACACGAAGACTCGAGGAGAAGAGCGAACCAGTCACGTAACGGACTTCTGAAAGTGGCAGAGCTGCTCAAAACCTCTGGATCCGGACACCGAGGAAGCAGCGCCTGAAACCACGGCTGGGCTGGCCACCACGGGGCCAACAGGATTACTCTTCCCTGGTAAGTCTCCAACCAAGCCAGGGCCTGAAGCAACAGTTGAACCGGAGGGAAGAGGTACAGAAACCCCCACCTCGACCAGTCCTGCTAGGAGGCGTCGATCCCGATTGCCTTGTGGTCGAGGAAGGGCGCCACATATACCGGAAGGCGCCTCGACCACGCTGACGGGAAGAAGTCCACCTCCAGGCGCCTGAACATCTAGCAGAGCCAACTGAATGAGTCATCGACCGTCCATTCCGTAGACTGGGGAACGAATGAACGGACGGCCTGTCCGGGACCCCCCCCCCCAGACGTGAACTGCCAAGAGAGCCAAACCCCCAAGAACTCAGCAGACTAGTCACCTGAAACGCCCAGCCCCAAAGGGCCAAGGACTGCATTGAACCCTTTTGGTTCAGGCAATGAACCAACAGGGAGCAGTTTGAATGGAGCCAGATGGCCGATCCATGGGCGACCTGAACCCTTCGAAGCACAAACCACACCGCTGCAAACTCCTACACCTTGCTGTTGGCCCAACGGAAGGACAGACCCCACTGCCCCTGGCCGGCCTGGTAAGCACTGGTCACAAAGCCCCAGCCGAGAGATGACAAGTCCGTGAACACACCGAGCGAGGGCTCAGGTAGGCGCCAAGGCACTGAACCCCGAAAACCCCGAAGAGGAAGTCGGCGATGCAGTAGCCAATGCAAGGACCCCAGGGGTCAAACCCAGCCATCGCGAAAGAGGTGGAAGGGACGTCCCCGAAGGAACTAGAACAGCCAACGAACCCAAATCCGACCTGGAGGGTAGACCATCATCGCAAAGTTCAGGCTCCGAACTTTGCGATGATGAGACGAAACACCATGAGCGTAGCTCTCATCCTGTAACTACACTTAATAATTAATTAATTATTAATATTCCTCCTCCAACTATAATGTTTGTGGTGTTATTGCACTATATTCACACATTGTATATAAGTATCTACAGGTTTTGTTCACCATAACTGTACAACTAAGCTGGTATGGTGCCCAAAAAGCATAGTGACCACCCATACACAGCATGACAATTCATGCAGATACCACCTCCCTCACCAAAATGGCTTTTCCCAACATACTCCTTTTGCTGTTATTACACTATATAACATGTTATATGTAAGTATCTACATTTGTATTCACTATAGTGAACCACTAAGCTGGTATGGTGAGTGCAGACAGTAACAGGTGGCCACACAGATTCGGCAGACGATGCTACCGTCCTCCCTCCCTCAACATTACTCCTCCCACAATAATACGCACAACGCAAATTTTCACAACACTACTGCTATTATGAGAATCCTGGACCTTTTTTTTTATCACAGTCAGGGGTCTTTTGTAATACTCTCATCCCTAAATAATACCAGTTACATATATATATTTTTTCATTTTTAGGCAATGCTATGGTCACAAGCTTAACAGCAATACTGTGAGCTCATGCTGTGTGTGCGCCAGCCTTGGTGGTTCACTCAGTACTGAGGCTTTCATACCCGTGAATGTTGCCCACAATTTAAAAAAAAATGGCGTCTGTTTACAAGAGCCCTGAGGAAGCTGATGTGAACCCCTATGTAGCCACAGGACTTTTCAAATCTTGCACGGTACTCCAAAATATCATATGATGTGGTTTGTAATTTTGTGACAGTTACTCAACACATCATATGATGTGTTTGCAGTTTAAGGGTTAAGGGTTAAGATAGGAAGGCCCAAGGTGGATAATTCAGGAACCATCACTGGGGCTCCCTTCCAGAAATTGGGTAAATATTATGTTTGTAGAAAATAAACTAAGATGGTTGGGTCACATTGAAGAAAGGGCTGAAAATAAGAGTGTAATAAAGAATAGGAAATAGAGAAGAAATTTGAGATGATTGACATGGTAAATGGCTTGGGAGCAGAGATTTAGTGTGAACAGTGCACAAGAAGTTGTAGGAAACAAGAATCTGTAAAAGTCAATGGGTCGATTCTTGTCTTCGGCACTTTTGTGGTCTTGTATCCCCAGACTCTGGAGATACTATTTATTTATTTTTATTGAAATGTATAAGACTTCTTACATTCTTGTACTGCCACTAGTACTCATTGCATTTCGGGCAAATCCTTAATTCTATGTTCCCTGGAATACGACCCCCGCGAAAAATTGCTTAACAACCAGGTACCCATTTTACTGCTGAGTTAAACAGAGGCTACAGTTAATTATCTGCACTAAGTAAATCCTCCCTGGCCAGAATACTAACCCAGGACAAAGTGCTTGCAAAACGCCAGGCAGGCGTCCTAACCACTACACCACGGAGACTGGCAAGACTATGCCTATACTAGAGGCATAAAATCTATGCCTCTACTTAAGCCAGATTCTGCTTCTGGTTTCTCATATGTGGTGAAGTCTGGCACAGGCCTGGTAGGGTATAATTGGTGTGGCGCTCGCCAGCGGCTAGCTCATGGAACCACCCAGGAAATCCCAATTAGAATGGTATGATGAGGATGATCCATTAAGTTTACTATTCTACTGTAAGAACTAGACAAAGTCATGAAAATAATTTACCAGACATATTCAGGCTTGAGTAGCCCAAGCTAAATGCAAATCAAGAGCTAACATTTAGATCTGGAAGAGATTATTTTGTATGGCAGGCATTAATTAGGAAGAATGCCTACCTTTAACAATTACATCAGCACTGTCATTGTCATGAGCTGCAGCACGAAGCACATCTTCCAAGTCTCTGCTTCTTCTGTCCTTGTTCCATTCTTTAATCAGCATAAGCTGAAAGGGAAATTAAAGACACATAAGCATAATAAAATTAATATGGTTCTTGCATAAGGTAAATCTTAAACCTTTTCACTGCAACACCAGAACCTGTTTTTCTCAATGAAACATGGGGAAAATGGGGTCACAAATTGACACAAAACCTAGAAGTAAAAAAACCAGCATTGAATGTAATGAAAGGCCATTTTCTGGTTGAGTCCCAGAGGCTCCCCGGAGCTATCCAAGCTGATATGGATACCCTAACTATTTTGCATCAGTCGATGTGGGTCGAGTTCTAGGCCTACCGGGGACTACGAGCCAGAACCTGGCCCCCCTCACAGAGGCACGAGGAGCAATGGCCCATAGAAATGTAAATGTGATTTGGAGCATTCTATATCTGCCATCGACCGGGACAGGCACCCAGAAAGGTAAGTGACACAAAACAAACCCCTATTCTGGTTAAAACAAAAAAAATCGCCAAACAAGTGGACAAAACTCCCCAAAAGAAAAACGAGCAAACAAGCATGATGTCACACGATACGAGCATGAGTCCCAAACCCTCGTGCTGGGGATCCACACTTCAGTTCTAAGGCTGGATATAAAAAAAAAAAAAAAAAAAAAAAAAAAAATGCCGATCAAAGGGAGGGAGGGAGGGTTGCCGGGGAGCCTCCGGGACTCACCCAGAAAATGGCGTTTCATTACATTCAACGCTGGTTTTCTGGGGGGGAGTCCCTAAAGCTCCCCGGAGCTACTTCACCAAAGACAAAAACAGAGGGACGTAGTTATGGTGCTCACACCATAACTCGAAGTCGAGACAACAGGCTGCAACAGCCGACCCAAGGCAACACAGGCCCGACTAGGCCCAGGAACATACATGAGGGAGCGCGCAGCCAGGAGTCAGCGCGACCGCCAAAACAACCCTGTGCCTGAATGTCAGCCCAAGACATGCCACCAAAGACGGCAGCAAGCGCAGCAAACCTACAAACGTGAAGGGCACAGACGGGAAGAGACCACAGGCGGGCTAGACAGAAGGACCCAGCAGATGACCTGAGAGACCTGAACCCGAGAACAGGGAAGAAGGGAAACCGGATCAACCCAAATCGCAGCCTCTTCCACAGAGGCCGTGGCGCACAAAGAAGGTGGTTTTATCCAGTTCTTGTATCCAGTTGCGGCTCTCCGCCGCAACTGGATACAAGAAGCACCCCGCCCAACCAACCAATCAGCAACAATCCCAGGGACCCCTCCGGAACCGAAGGGGCCACAACAAACCGAAGGGAATAGAGAAAAGAGCACCCTGCCTCAGAGCAGGACGACTCAGGTGGAGCATGAGCAGGAGAGAGGTTAACAATGCCCAAGGCAACCCATGAACGGTGCAGATGGAACAACAAAACCAGAGCAATCCAAAGCGGCTCCGCCAGTGCCGCACGAGACAGGGCGACGGTATGCGGCCAGAAGACGGCCCTGAACCACAACGAGAGAAGGACAAGACCATGACAACAAAGAGCGCAGTACATCTGTCGAAGAGACAAAAAGAAAAAATTAGGACCGCCAGAAAACCCCATACTGCCGCCGAGCCGAAGCACGCAGGTGGGACACATTCAAGAAGCCACCTGATCACCAAACAGATGGTGAGAGACTCGAGTAAAAGTACCAGACAAGAATGAACAAATCCACAAGGGCCGTGACAAGGATTCGAACCTACGTTCAAGAGCATCCCAGACGCTGCCTTAATCGACTGAGCTACGACATGTATAAGAATTGCAACCAGAAATTCTACTGAATTTACTTGGATTCTGCAGCCTCTCTGAGAGACAAACCAGAATTTTACATAATTCCCCCCATATACTCGAGCTATGTCAATAGGCCGTTCTACCTCTTTGCCCTTACTTCATTACACACACAAATCACAACAGCGTGATGTGTTGATGGGGCAGCTATAGTCCAGCCAAGATCGATAGTAAACAGACTCCATCTTGGAAAACAAATTGTGGGTAACATTCCTGGGTGTGAGAGCCTCAGTAATGAGTGAGCAACCAAGGCTGACGCATGCAGCATGATCTAACAGCACTACTGTTCTGCTTGTGAACACAGCATCCCGATTCAGCGAATCTCCGGCTAGGTCGCACACTTTTCAGGCCGGCTTTACTCACCCCTTTCGGCAAACTCTGGTTCGCAAAGCAGGAGATGTGCGGATTTGCTTACAATGTTGGGACAGAGTTCACAGAGTGGTGGACAACTTTCCCATTCCATCACAGGTTACAATTAACACTTTGGCGTACCCCATGCACCACCCCTCAACTGTGCGATATGGGACCCAGGGTGTCACGGAAGCGCATGTAAATTCTGAAAAGTGTATACTCTCTTCAACTTTGTCACCTTAACACTTTCGCGCTCTCGGCGCTAAAAAAAAAACAATACCCCAGATGCTTTCGGCACTTCGCGCGCCTACGCGGTAAGACCGAAAAAGTGTACAGGCATACCTCAGTTTAAGTTTAATTGGTTCCTGGAGACGCCTCGTATTCCGAAAACTCGCATTCCGAAGCTAATTTCCCCATAAGAAATAAAGGGAAATGAATTAATCCGTTCCTGACTACCCCAAAAACCCCACATCAAACTAAATTTTTATACCTAATTCATCTAAATAATCCTACAAAACTATGTTCAAGTTATTACTTACCTTGCTGTTGAATGCTGTAGGCGTATGGAAGATGGTGAGGAGGTGGGAGGAAGAGAGGAGTTACTGTTTGGAAGGGGAGTCCCCTTCCATTATCACATCAGGCAGTGAGGACTTCACTGGTATGCACACTCTGGCACATTTTGCCTGCATACCACTAGGACTTGCTTGTTTTACTAAGAATTTATCTAATGACACTTGTTTTTCCCTACATTTTAACACTTGTCTGTAGTAAGACATCACATTATCATTTAAAAGGTCAATGCAACGGCCTGCTACAGCTTTATCTGGGTGAGTTTTTTCAACAAAACTTTGCAGTTCTTCCCATACTTCACACATTTTCTTAATCAAGAAGGGACATCCTCTACTGCCTCTACTCACAGCTATTTTCTTAGGTTGAACCTTACCAATGGCTTTCTTGAGACCCATGGCAAGATATATAATGACAACTTTTATGCTCAAATGGCCAAAAAACCAGCGTTGAATGTAATGAAACGCCATTTTCTGGGTGAGCCCCGGAGGCTCCCTGGAGCTTATCGGGCTAATGTGTGTTATGTTAGACCGGGACATTAGCTAAGGAGTTCAGACCTACCAGGGACCAGCGCCAGAACCTGGCCCCTTCAGAGAGGTTTCAGGGAGCAATGGCCCTGGAAAACCCCATATGGTTGGGGGTTTTCCTTATCTGCCATCGACCGGGGTTAGGCACCCAGAAAGGTAGGCGTAACAAAACAAACCCCACATGGTAAGAAACTACAACAAAAACCGAACAGAGAGGTAGAAAACTCCCTACAATCCCAAGGAAACAAGCAAACAAGCAAACATCACACTTTACTGCCGCGCCGATCGTCCGCGCAGCCCTCCCCACCCCGGGAGGGGGAGGGGGGAGCCCCGGACCTACCGCGCCGGCTGCCAAGCTCCAGTTCGGAAGCTAAGCTTCAACCAACGCGAAAAAAACGCCGACCGGTGGGAGGGAGGGTTTCCAGGGAGCCTCCGGGGCTCACCCAGAAAATGGCGTTTCATTACATTCAACGCTGGTTTTCTGTGGGGAGCCCCTACGGCTCCCTGGAGCTTCATACCCAAAGAGAAGGAAAAGAAAGGGCTAACCCGGGAGGCGGCCGCCACAAACTCTGCAACGCAAAGCCAAGACAACCGGTCGCAAACCTGCGACCCAAGGCAACAAGAACGCCCAAGAACAGACGCACATATGGATGGGCGGCCAAAAACCCGTGCGACCCACAATTCCCTGCGCCCGAAATGAGCCCGAGACGTCACCAACACAGCAGCAATTGCTGCAAACGTCTGAACAGCACGGGCGCAAAGACAGACCGCAGGAAGAAGGAAAACACTGCGGACGACCCGGGAGACCCGAGCCCTGAAAACAGGGAACGAAGGAACCGGATCAACCACAGCGCATCCCCAGGCACGGTACGCCGGCAACAGCAAAAAGCACAACTGGACAACACAGGACGCACCCCCCGGCCAAACCAAACAAGTACCAATACCCCAAGAACCCCTCCGGAAAGCAGCCGTCTCGACCATCGCCAGGACAGAGAAAGGCTGCACACCAATAAAGCTACCACCAGTACCAAAGAGGAGGAAACTGAAACCGAAGGGGCTACCACAAACTGAGGGGAAGAGAAGAAGGCACCCTGAACAAGGACCAGGATGGCTCAGGCGACTCATGAGCAGGCCGGAGGGGAAACAAAACGCGAGAAGACGTAATAAACGTCATACAGTCTCCAAGACGAAGCTCGCAGGTGGGACACCGTCAACAAAGCCACCTGAACATAATAGAGATGGCGATACCTGCGTCAAAATACCAGACGCGAAGAGCCAAAGAGAAGGCCGAACCAGTCACGGACAGGACCGATTCGGCCTGCTGAAAGAGGCGAAGCCTCAGGAAAAACGCCCCGGGTACGGACACCTATCAAGCAGCGTCTGAAAAGAAGGCCGGGCCGGCCACAGTGGAACCATAAGGACTGTTCTCGTGGGAATGGGCTGCAACTGAGCCAGAACCCGAAGCAACAGCTGGACCGGGAGAAGAGGTACAGGTACCCCCCACCTCGACCAGGCCTGCCGAAAGCCTCCACCGTGAAGTCCTCGCAGGTGGGAAGGGCGCCACAAAACGGGCGACGCCTAGACCACGCCGACCCGAAGACGTCCATGGCCAGGAGTCCATAAGCCCAACAGAGCCAACAAAACGAATCGGCGATGACTGGCCAACCCACGAAGAGGAATGAACCGAGACAGCTGTCCACCAGGACGCAGGACACACCCCGGACACGAACCACACGGTTAACCAAACCCCTGTGGTTCCGGCAAGAACCACCAGAGAACAGTCCAA